CCAAACTCCGATGTTGTTCTCTCATGCTTAAAACCAACAAATCTATCAGAAAGAGCAACACATTAAAGACTTAGAGTTAGATTAGAGCCTATTGAAAAAGCAATTTTCAGTTCTGCACTGTTAAGTCAGTCCATTCATGGGTAAATACCTGCTCTAGCTATACAGTAGACTGTTGCAGCCCTCATGTACTGTATAGGCCCTCCATCCTCTCTGTGGTTACTTCCAGGTCTAAATCCCATTGGGTGGAGCTGTCCTCTGCCGAGGTGACCCGGGGCTGGGACAGGTAGGCCCACCATTGTTACCACTCACACTCGGCACAACACATAACATAGAAAACAAAGCGCTTACTTTAGTGCTGACAGACAGCAGGCTAATTCGCTGAATCTGCTCTAGTTCCCCACCAAGAGGCAACATTTAATATAAAGATGCTCAGACTGAACAGAGGCAAATGGAAATGTGCAGGGACTAATGATGGGATATTACTTTATTATATTAAGAGTGTCTATGTGATAAGATTCTTTTCATTATCTCAGTGACAAACAACCTGTAGCAGACATGTTTGTCGCTTCTGTCGTATGTTATATATTTTAGGAATAACTTTGTTGGTCTAACGCGCGCTTCTTTATCCACACATACACACACACACAGTCACAGTCCTGGGTTTGAATCCACCAGCCAGCTGGCTTTTTATGTGCAGTTTGCGTATTCTCCCCGTGTCTGTTTGAGTTCTCTCTGGGTTTCGGCCTCCTCCCACATGCCAAATATGGAAGTGTTCAATATATTTTGCTTCCAAAGAGCCAGAATTTCTTGTAACTTTTTGAACCAGTCCTGAGTAACACTTCTTTAGGCTCTCTGAAAGTCTTTCAAATGTTCTCTTTGGACATTAACTGCTTTTTCACTCATTTTCAGTGCAATCTTTGTACTCAACCATTACTGGGGATACCATTTTTTTTTATTTCTTAAGCCACTTAACACTGACCTATGAACCATCCAAGCATAAAAAAGACACAGGAAAACCCCCCAGCAAAGGACCTGGATGTTAGAGACACAGGATCTGAGAGAAGCATCTGTCTTAATTTCTCAATTGGATAAATGGAAGAAACTGGATGGAAAATACTGTCAGAAATATTTCCTTTGTACACACACAGGAGAATGGAATTTTCAGCCATGCTATAGAAACACATAATCGACACTCTGTTGTAAAGTTGACACAGAAAGAAATGGAATTTTTCAGTGGTGTTCCCATTCATGTAATGGTGTTTTGAAAGTGTACAAGATGGATTGCCCACAAAACATCCTGTTGCTAGAAGTGAATGCACTAGACAGTTACCAGCTCTGTGTCCACAAAGTGAATTTCAGCGACACCTGGACTTTGCAGTTGGGAATTGGCAGGTTACAGAACCAAATCAGACATTAATATTCTCCTAAGCACCTCTGTTGGATGATGTCTAAGTTTAGGGCTCTGTAAAAACAGCATAAGGTGGCAAATCCTCGAATGTTAAGATTGAAGCAAAGGTGGCTTTAAAAGAAGGATAATAATCAGGTTCTTTCTAAAACTGGCAGAGTAACCAAAATCTTGGCAGAAAACCGTATTTTATGTTGAAAGAAATGTGTTTGGGGAATAGTTGCCTTTTAGGGACTTTGTGAATTTTGTACACTTTGTACACCTTGTGCCTGTTGATTGTGGTGTTGTAGCAAAAATATAAAACATTAGGTACGTTGTTCAACTTTAAGACTTTTTTCCCCCCACAGCGTTGCTTCAAAAGCATCGCTGTACCGGCTCCTAGTGGCACAGCAGTGCTCCATTAAAGCATCAAAAGGATGTACTTATCTTTACTGCCACGCAGCCTTTCATACCTTTCCTGAAGGAAACAGAAAACAGCAGTGCTGATAAAAGTAGAAACATGAAAGACTTTAACAGGACTGTATCCTGATGCTGGGTTTGCTTTCATTATTGAAAGCTCTGAAATCTTGCTTTCATTTATGGCGCCGGTGAATGACGTGGCAGGTGAGCTGTTTGGCCATCTGTCGCGATTGCCCCAAATATGAAATATATATTTATTTTTTAAAAACTTTGGCTCATCTACCTGAGATTGGAACGATCGGCCGTCATCACACTTTAAAGGCAAATACACAGAAGTAATAATGTAAACAACTAAAATGTTTATTAACCGAACTGAATTTTTTTTTCTTTTACAGCAAATTCTTATCACAACACAGTCTTCAAATGACACTTAACCCTTTGAGTACAGTTAGGTTGGCCACTCTGATCTGAAGAGTAAGCAGTGAACAGACCAGGGGATTCCTCTGCCATAGTCCACTATAAAACATGAAGTGGCACATCAGGAGCTCGAAAGTCCTAAACTTGTGTTATTTTTTTTAAAAAGTCAGACATAAAAGGATAAAACACAATGCCCCCCCCCCAATTCCTTCCTTCCTTCTTTCTTTCTTTTTTTTTTAGCAGAAACTGAAACAAGAACATTTTCAAGATTTTCGATTTTCTTTACATGTGTACATGGTTCTATGTTGTCTGATTTCCATGAAGTCATGTTTCACTTCAGATCATACAAACATGTTGGAGAAAAAAAAAAGCTCATGAATGCAGTGAGCAGCCTGTCCTGGCGCTTAGAAAAGACGCTTATCTATGCAGGTTCTGATTTCCGAGTCTGATTTCCACCTCTTAGTAAGGGACACCGATTAGAGATCAGAATATATACACACAGGCTAATCAAAACTGTGTTATCCTAAAACAGTGAAAAGACATGAATCTATGACGGATACAATACTAAACAGGTTAGAGCAAGAATAGAAAAATAAATAGTAAAAACAATAGAAATGTTGCTTCTCTCATATTCAGCTTGCAACGCTCAGTTCCAAAGAAGCTGTGGTAGTGAAAATTATCCTCATAGTCTTACTTTCTTTACAGTGACCTTCCCCTTTACACAGTATTTACAAGCAAAACAGAGCCTATCCCACGAGATAAGAAACGTAGTCCACTAAAATGAATACATTTTTCATGAACACAATGGGAATTTTTAAAAAACTGCAGAGTTGTATCACATTGTCAGTATGTAAAAGCACTTACACACAGTTTGCAAACAGTGGTTTTTAGTAGACGTAGTTCATATCAAATCAGTCAACAGAGCAATCTGAAACTTTGTACAATTATCTGCTTTTGTTTCCTTTGATTTTTTTTTGCTTTTGATGGGTACAGAAAACATTTACATCATCTTTTTTTCCCCTTCTGTATGTGTACTTTGTCCACAGTTGACAATTTCGGTATTAGAGTGTTTAGAGTGTAAGGAGAGGTGATACAAGGACATCGTGGCTAAGGAGGACATGCTGTAATAATTGCTCTCAACTCCAAAAAGCGAGGTCATACCTAAAACTGTTTTAAATACCAGTTAAATTACATAAAATGTTTTTTTGATATATATATATTAAAGCCAGTGCAGACTATAACAATTGTAACATGTCCCAATTTTACCATGAGTTGTCCTATTGCTATGCAAATGGGTTGCAGCTTCTGCATTCTTTTTTTAATGGCAAACAAGGGGTGGGTCATCTTGTTGCAACACGCCTGATGGTTGTACAGAAGTCTCTTTGAAAACAGCCTTCAGCTCAGTGAACATTTTATTGATGAGTTCATGGTTTTAATTGCTGGGTTTTGGTACAATACCTTGTCACTGAAAAGATTCCATATGAACTTATTGTATAGTATCTTTCGATTACAGGCAGATCCACTCCTCACTGATAGTTTAAAGAAAGCCAAGATGGCAAAGGTGGAAGAACTCACCAACAAAACTAATGACCTAGACCCTGAACCATCCCTTAGTTATGCTGCAGTAGGTTTAGACTTCTGGGGGTCAGGGCAGATGGCTGCCTCTCCCTGAGCCTGGTTCTTCTCGAGGTTTATTGCTGTTATGGGTGTTTTTCCTTCCCACTGTTGCCAAGTGTTTGCTCATTGGGGGTCACCTGATTGTTGAGGTTCCTCTGCATTATTGTAGGATCTTTATCTTATAGTATAAAGTGCCTTGTTGTGACTTGGAGCAATATAAATAAAACTGAATCCCTCTGGTATTCTTTATAGTCTAGGATTTCTACAGAAAAATACTTTTTTTTTTTTAAACTTGCCTAGAGAAGATCCTATGGATTGCAATGAAGCCTTTTCCAGGATCTCTTGCATTTGCAGCACTTGCAGTCATTTGCTCTTATCCTAAAGTTGTACAAATGAAAATGACAAGGCTGTTTTCTTTGGGTACAGGAGCCAATTTCATTATTATAGACTATGTACCTCTCCAATTTCTTGCCTTGGTGCCCTTTAGCCTCATTGGATTTTGTTCATCTCAGTCTCAGACCTGTTTACAACCTGCTCCTCGATACCATCTTGTTTGCCGCTATGACAGAAATATGGTACAGCAAGCGGATTACTCATGACGATGGATTATTGTCTTGATAAGACAACTGCAGTAAAAGTTATGTATTTTGGACTAGGCTTTTTTGCAGCTCACCAACTGATTTCCATGTCTTCACAATTAAAAAAAAATGAAAGTTTCATTTCCACTGTGAAGGATTATCTCAACCTGAAAGCTGTTTTTCATCCTGACACGACGAATGGATTCTTCTGAAGGAGGAAAATGAGTCCTGATATCTGCACTGACTGAGTGCAGAAGATTCAAACACGAAGGAGAAATCGAGAGAGAGAAGGCCCTAACTGTCGAAACTTTGAAAGGAAACCCCAGTTATTATTACAGCTGCCAAAAATTAACTGAGTGGTAAGTTGATGCGCAACAAAGGATTACCTAATAACAATTTTTTTTGCTTATTTGATCAGAGGGTGAACATTTCACATCAGATTTCTGCAGTTATATAACAATCATGTTATATAACTGCAGCATAAGTCGTGGCCTTGAAACCTAATTTGCTTTTAGTACTCATTTAAAGAAAAAAGAAAAGAAAATAGTGTTGAAAATTTCCTCGGGGGGGGGGGGGGGGGGGGGATACTGACCGACATAGGCTGATGGCAGTGACACTCGAGGGTCAACATTAACACTCTTGAGAAAAGCTTAAGGACAGTGCAGACAAATGTGGATGAGGGCTGAGGGACAGGGTAGGGGAACAGGAGACAAGAGCATCCGCGTAACTATGAACGTGTGAACTGTAGCAGTAAAGACTCTCCTGCCTTAATAATCCTGGCTGTCTGTAAACAGATTCAACACTTGGTGACCTTCTGGCATAATCAAATCCAGGGCTGCGTGACAATGCTTTAATTATCCGCATCCCTCTCCAGCGCTCACTTTTTGTGTCCCTGCCACCCTGGGTGTGCCATATGGTGCAGAGCCGAGGAGCCCGGAGAGACGCCGCAGAAGTCCAACCCTCCACGAGCTCAGATTTAATCAATGACTATGGCTGGCACTCATTCTGGCCTGCAGGAATCCACTGTGCATCGCCACACACCTTTCAGATGCTTTTCATACCCTGACTGCTGTTGTTAAGTGTAGGCATCTGGCAGTCATCCTCATTTGAAGACGAGATGCTGTGGTTGAGGGAGTGTTAGAAAACTGAAGTGGCTCAGAAGGACAGACATGTTGTCTGTCCCAGTTCAGAGCCTCAGGGATGCGGTTTAATATAGATGTGGCATTTATAGGGTTTGATGACTGAAAGCAGGACTGTTTTCCAGCTACATCTACCAGCAGTAATAAATACCTGTTCCAAGCAGCCACGCTCAAAAGCGAGTCAACGTTATTGTGGTACACTGCATGTCATGGCTATTTCTGGAAAATCCTTTAAAATGGGACTGATGGTGTCAGAGAATAATAAATTAATACATAATCTCTGTAAACAGATACCTGCCTATCAGAGTCCGTAGGCAAGGGACAGTTTTTCTGGCTTCAGCTTGTAGTAGGTTGTACTTGCATCTGAGTTAAGAATCAGAATTACTGGCTATCATCTGAAAATTTATTTATTGATTTTTTTGACGTATTTTAAGTATTCATAAATGATGTCTGGCAAATAGGCACAGGAAGTTTTATCTGTTGGGTGTTACGCCCCAAATCTACGTCACCTGATTAGCTGACAGGTTTCTAGATTGTCAAATTATCAGTCTGCTCTAGACTCTCAAATATTGCAGATTTCAGTTTCTGGGTCCAGGGCCAGCTAGATGTTTTGATGAAACATTAACGATGTATGCAAAGCTAATGTGCACCACTGACATGGTTTATACTTCTACCTGTTTTGCCAGAGAACCACTCAAAAAATGTAAAGATGGAAGTTTGTATATTACGATGTGTTCAAGATGTGACTTTTGTAATGTCAAAGAAGAATGTAGTCCACAACTATTTGGGAAATATCAGTGATGGAAATCATGCTGACACCAGGACGTGAGGTCAACATGTTGTAAATTCATTTGGATTTCACACAAATCAGGACATCCAAAAGCTATTGCTAAGTTTTTAGCACAATATGGACAATATCAGTGACAGAAACAAAAAAACGCTACTCACAAAAACTCTGGTACTGAAATGAAAACTGACCCCATTTCATCATAACATTGTAATATGACACTGAACTACCTCCTGATTCAGTAACACAAAACACAGTAAAGTGGATGCATTCCTTTTGGTTACCAAAGTAATGGATGTTTAGTTTCCTGTAGGCGACCAAGCATTAAAGAGCCCGTGTTTGAGCAAATGTAGACAGACGGAGCCCCTCAGCATCCGTCTGGCTGTTTGTCTCTGGTTTCGGGTTTGAGACATTTAAAAAGGTTTCAAGACGTTTCGTGAAAGGATGGAATTGAACACAGAGACACAAACACAACACAGCGACTGTGGTGAGAGCAACTCGGGCCTCTGTCTCCTCCTGAGTCACGCACGCACACTCAGTCGCTGTTTGTCGACAGAGGTACAGCATAAAAGCACAGCCGCGACACCCCAGTCTGTCCAGTGTGTGTTTGCAAATTTTCTTTTTTTGTGCACACACTGGCATGCACATGTGCATGCGAGAGTCTGTCCGTCTGTCTGAGGGGAAGGGTCGTCAGATGGTTGAGAGGATGTGGCAGTCCCATAGTGAAAGGAGAAGAAGAGGACGGCACGTGGAGGAGGAGGAGGGAGGGCTTTAGTTGTTCTGAAGGCAGTCGAGATCCACCGAGCAGCAAACACTTCCATTCTGAACAGAAAGGCATGACAAGATAGGAAAGAAGAGAGAGCATTAAATAAGGTGAAATGTAATATACAGTTCCACACTGTGCATGGTAAAGCTAATAACTCACTTCACAGCCTAAATCACTTTTATCCACCTGACTTACAGAAGGATTTGGGGTGGTTAACCTCATGTCTCTAGTGTCATTACAGTGGTACCTAGTTATACAGTGTCAGCATTATCCCATATACATTTGAGATATCAGACTGATATCATGAGATTTATGCTTTCACTCTAGTGCATAGGGATTATGAATTTGTGGTGGTAAGCAGTGGCACATCTGAGAAACTGAAGCACAATATATCGTTCCCAAAAGAAGTTTCCAGTTCCGCTCGATAGTCAGCAGCTCTCACTGTCATACGGACTGTGATCTGGAGTGAACAGTCGCTATGAAAAGGTTAATATCTCAAAAATATGTATCAAGGGTAACGGGCCCTCTGTATTTATGGCCGTGAAGAACACAAGGTCCTGTCTGGTCAGACGTAAAAACCGTCTCCAACAGTGGCACATTGTCTCAGATTGTGTCCCGGAGATGTAGAGTGACACTAGGTTGGTGATTCAAGAAAGCACAGGCACGATGTGGCCACGTCCAAAAATCACATCAACGCAAAGACTGCTGCAAATATGTATCTAGTCTACTGATTCAGTTTATGTAACAACTATGGAAAAGTACAATGTAGATTTAGGTCTATGTATTTGATGTGCTCATTTTGCTCTTTTATGTATTCTGACTGCAAAGAAAACAAGCAAAACCAAAAAAGCTAAAGTGAGGGGGCAGCAGCCTATCTTCACCTAATGAGTGGATCTGACACGTTCCTGCCACAGTCATCTGCATGTTCACTTCTTTTAAGGTAAAAATGCTCCTTACATCATCTCTGACAGTCATTTTTCTTTTATGCATTCATCTTAGAACACATATAAATAGACACTGTGTGCCCTCTAGCACACATTAGCTAAATTGATTATGCCACATTTTCAGTCTCAAAGATTTTCTGCTAATAGCCAGTAATGGCTGTCATTACTGATAAAATTGTGATCTTTTGGAACATCTGACATTTTTACATCTAAAACCCACAAGTCTTATCCCATTTGCAGACCCTGGAAGAATATCAAACAGAGGTTTGGGGAAAGTGTTTTCAAGTTAGCGATCTCCTGTATACTTTAGCCTAGCATGTTTGCCATTATGGCGGCTCTGCTACGATCCCACTGGTTTATGTTGTGTCCAGCTGGCATACGTTTGTGCCTTGCAGAGCCGCCCCTAACCCTGCCAATCAGAACAACCCCTCTGGTTAGTTACTTTTTTACTCATTGTAATGGCTTTTTATTACAACACAGAGAGCTGACTGTTGGTCTTGGAGTTGGAAATTGGTTCATTTCTGTGTTTTCTCTCAGTCAGATGTGAAAACAATGATTTATGTCAGATCTTTTCCTAGACAGCAACACCGTGCTTGGGCTTCTTGCCCTGATGTACACTGTTTTTGTGGAACTCTGCCATAGAAAGTTAGCAGTCCCCATCAACCCTCAATAGCCTTAATAATAGCAATGTTGACAGGTTGAAATAAATTAAAATAGTCTCTTTACAAACCGGCAATTTGAAGGTCAAAAATATGTATTAGTATTAGTATTTATTTATTTATTGTCATTGTCAAGAACAATGAAATTGCGTTTGGGGCTTCCATACAACCCAAAAAGAAGAAGAAAATAATAAATACCCCTTAAAACCCAAGTGTACATATTTAACCCAGTGTGACTCCAATGCAATAAGACAATCCTTAGCAATAATGTTCGTAGAAATTCAGACAAAGACCTGAGAAACATGACAAAATACAACAATGCAACCCATTCAATATTATTGTACTGTGAGATATGTTATCAGATATGATAGTTATCTATTTAAGAAAGAGGGGGGGGGGGGCAGGAGGGGGAAGAGAATAAAGATATGATGCACCAATGCAGACCAGTTCATTGCTATTAAGAAGTTGGATATGGTTATTGTCCGTGAGAGGGGGGCAGAGAGTTCAGGAGCCTACACAATTAGTTTGTTCATGCTGCATTGACCTACCTTGCACTTGCAAGTGGTGCAGGGTGATTTGGGCATATGCCATGTGTCTCCGCTGAGGCGGGCGATGCCTGCGGGGTCCTTGCATGTCTGCCGAATGTCATACGACAGGTTGTCAGCCAGGCAGGGGTCTGTGACGCAGCGTGGGCAACATTCGCCCTCTGCCACTGCCGTGTACTCGCACATCAACGTGGGGCAAACTAGAGGCCAGCAGTCGACCTCCCCTTCCTGCAGAGACACAGGCAGTGATGAAAAAAAGCACCAGAATTGCTATAGCGTGTGTGAATTTTCTTTTCTTTTCTTTTTTTAGTGTGTGTTTGTGTGTGAGACAGAGAGAGAATTCAGTTACAGATCTCACGCTGGTCTGTTGCCACATCTCTAATTAGAGAGGTGGTAATTTTCTCAGCCCTCATACACACACAGTTAACCAGCAGATCAGGGAGGGGTATGAATTAAAGCCCTGCTCTGAGCTTCATGTTGGAGAGGAGGGTTTTGTCTTTTTGATGTGATCTGTGTCTTCCAACAAAGCTCTTGCCTGCTTTTATTTAAAATGGACAATAGCTTCTGTGTGAATGTGTGTGTGTGTGTGTGTGTGTGTGTGTGTGTGTACACAAACCATGCAGCGGCACTGCTGGCAGCCGTACAGCCAAGATGCTCCGCTGCGGTAAAGTGTGCGTCCGCTCTGATCCAGACACTGGCTGCTGGGCCTGTTGTCACATCCAGGACAGCAGAACAGATCCTCTTCTGGGTCTCCACAGTCACAAGGTCTCCGCCTGCAGTACGTCTGCCCATCCTAAACAACAAACGTCACACACATCGGGGTGCAAACTGGCTTAAATAATGTACGTAGCTTATCATCTCTGTATATTCTGGGTAGTAAAATACAATACCCAATACACAATAAAGGTGTCCCTCAGTAAAACAAAGGGCTTCAAACTCACTGTGATTTATATAAAAATGAAATAATGGGTCTATAAACATGAAATATTACTGTGAACAAACACAGTTTGAGCACTTTCCTGAGGCAGATTTTTACTTTTGTGTAAATGATCCGTCATTGTCTTTGACAAATGGGAACACCCTGAAGTCGCCGTACCAAGGCACAGCCTTACAAACAATGCATTTTCTGACTTTCTCCTTTTCATATGTCTCCCACTCTCTCTCATCAATTTGCAAAACAATAACATGAACACCAAGCAGGCTTTTAAAGCACGTTGTTTATTTTTTCTAAATTAAAATTTAATATCTGATTTATATAAATATGTCTGGCCTAAAATTAGTAACTTGTTAAGCACTTTTGACAACAAGTCTTGCTGACAGTCAACCAAACTGGGTGGGGGGCATTCTCTACTGAGAGCAGGTCTGGACCATGGATGATATAAAGCAGGTTTGAAAAGTGAGGATAATGCAAAAGTGCCTTGAACCTGTATTCTCTCTAAAGGACACCGGATGGTAAAGCTGCAGTTATAAAGACTTCTATGGGAAAGTCTATGGAAAAATTGCTACAGTATCTGTCTTGATCTCTGTAAAGAATTTCCTGCTAGCTTCATGGCTCAGTCACTTGTTTCGGGTTCTATTTAATAAAGAATGACTTCTTTTTTATAGATCATGGTGAAACTCTGTTAAAAAATTAGGACTTGTCAGTCACAAGTCATTAGCTAATGGGTTTCACAGTCAGACAAGCTCCAGTTTGTTGAAACCAGAATGGTGATGGTGAAAATGCTAATCTTGAGGCTTGAGTTCGAGACTTTAGAAATCAGTGGTTGATGTCTTGTTAGATAAGCTCACCTATTATACCGTCCATGGTCTACATCTGCATCTCTTTAACTTATCTTATTACCCATCGCAGCAAAGCCTCGCAAGAGCATGGTGCTTCCACCACCATCATCATCATGTTTGGTTGAAGGGATGCTATTGATTGGATGTTGATCAGTGTCTGGATTGCTCCATTCCAGGTGTTGGGAATTGTCGCCACACTGTCCTTCTTTAACATTCTCCCGCATTCACAAAGGAACTCTGGCTCTCAGTCAAAGTCACCAGTGGGTTCTTGGTTGCCTGGTGGGCCATTTATATGGATACACCGTAATAAAATGGGAATGGTTGGTGATATTAAAGTCCTGTTTGTGGCACATTAGTATATGTGAGGGGGCAAACTCCTCAAGATGGGTGGTGACCATAGTGGCCATTTAGAAGTCGGCCATCTTGGATACAACTTTTGTTTGTTCAATAGGAAGAGGGCCATGTGACACATCAAACTTATTGGTAATGTCACAAGAAAAACAATATACTAATGTGCCACAAACAGAACTTTAATATCACCAACCATTCCCATTTTATTACAGTGTATCCATATAAATGGCCCACCCTGTAGGTGGACAGGTCTAGAAAGTCTGTTGGTGGCTGTCGAAAATATTCAGTCCTTCATCATCTCAGTAGATGATTCACTCGACATATGGCTTGGTTCATACTGACTTAAACTGACAAAAACTTTGTAACTTCACTGACAGGGATTTACATTTCCTATTTATGTCCAGTTATTTCAGTTAGACACAGATGTGTTCTAGTCAAGATATAAAAGCATCTCAAGTGTCATTGATAGAAGTGGGACGCACCAGAGCTCAATAGTGTGTGTCATAACAAAGAGCCTGAAGAACAAAGAGCATAACAAAGAGCCTTTTTAACACTTTGATTAATAATTGAAAACATCTATAATAAAAATCCTCTGGTGATGTTTGTCTTTCTTTTTCTTAAACTAAGTTTTTTTAATCTAATATAAGCATCAAGAGAACACTAAATGGCTAAAAGACACTAAAGATGTAGAAACATACCTATGGGTGATTTCATTTTCTTGTAACAAATTTTACATTTTCCCATTTTAAAAAAGCAATTTAATAGCACTCTAAATGAGACTAGAAGGGGTTGGGCGGCAAAGTGAAATGCAGAAGAATCCGACTGATCTGCCTTTCCAGCCGCTGTGTCATTGGCTCCCTGTCTGTACCTGGAGAAAACTTTATGGTCCATTTTACTCAGCACAGCCAGCACTGTCTGGCCCCAGGACGGCAGTGTAATGGAGATGTAAAAATGTTACATAAAAAGGCTGTTAGAAAATGTATGAGGGCCATAAAGTCATTCTGCATACCATTAAAAGGGCAATACAGAGCCAATGTTTTATCGATGCATATTGTCCTGCTACAGTAACTTGTGAGTCCCGGGGTGCCGGTACTGATGGCCTTGGTCTTTACAGTTACAACCCTGGACTTGCTGGGGAAATTACTGCCAATTGTATCGCGCTGGCAGAAAATATGAATGCAGGCTGCTCTTTTTAGTACAAGGAATACGACCACGTCTGAATGCCAATGACATGCATTTGTGCCAATCAAAACAACTTTACTGCTTTTTTCAATAATAACTGTTTGATAAATTTGATGACTGCAGACAGCAGTCTTTCTTTTAAGGGGGTATGATATGTACAACATAGTCGTACAGAATATTGTTTGAATTTTCTCAAATTAATTCACTTAGGGAGCTTGTTGATCTTTGTAGAACTTTTATAGAACTCTAAAATGTTATTTATTTTTTTACTTAGCTTGATTTTCTGTTTCATTTTTTCATTTTGGTTTTTCAATCTGGATGACGCTGAATAAGGAAGATCTTTGTTTTTAAGTCTCACTTTCATTTCACATGGCAGTGTGTTTGCACAAATGTATTCCTCGCTGCCATCTTTGGCTGTCGCTCAGGCGGAAGAGCAGGTCATCTACTGATTAGAAGGTTGGTGGTTCGATTCCTGGCTTCCCCTAGTCTGCATGCCAAATACAGGGAGTGCAGAATTATTAGGCAAGTTGTATTTTTGAGGAATAATTTTATTATTGAACAACAACCATGTGAACCCAAAAAACTCATTAATATCAAAGCTGAATGTTTTTGGAAGTAGCTTTTAGTTTGTTTTTAGTTTTAGCTATTTTAGGGGGATATCTGTGTGTGCAGGTGACTATTACTGTGCATAATTATTAGGCAACTTAACAAAAAACAAATATATACCCATTTCAATTATTTATTTTTACCAGTGAAACCAATATAACATCTCCACATTCACAAATATACATTTCTGACATTCAAAAACAAAACAAAAACAAATCAGCGACCAATATAGCCACCTTTCTTTGCAAGGACACTCAAAAGCCTGCCATCCATGGATTCTGTCAGTGTTTTGATCTGTTCACCATCAACATTGCGTGCAGCAGCAACCACAGCCTCCCAGACACTGTTCAGAGAGGTGTACTGTTTTCCCTCCTTGTAAATCTCACATTTGATGATGGACCACAGGTTCTTAATGGGGTTCAGATCAGGTGAACAAGGTGGCCATGTCATTAGTTTTTCTTCTTTTATACCCTTTCTTGCCAGCCACGCTGTGGAGTACTTGGACGCGTGTGATGGAGCATTGTCCTGCATGAAAATCATGTTTTTCTTGAAGGATGCAGACTTCTTCCTGTACCACTGCTTGAAGAAGGTGTCTTCCAGAAACTGGCAGTAGGACTGGGAGTTGAGCTTGACTCCATCCTCGACCCGAAAAGGCCCCACAAGCTCATCTTTGATGATACCAGCCCAAACCAGTACTCCACCTCCACTTTGCTGGCGTCTGAGTCGGACTGGAGCTCTCTGCCCTTTACCAATCCAGCCACGGGCCCATCCATCTGGCCCATCAAGACTCACTCTCATTTCATCAGTCCATAAAACCTTAGAAAAACCAGTCTTGAGATATTTCTTGGCCCAGTCTTGACGTTTCAGCTTGTGTGTCTTGTTCAGTGGTGGTCGTCTTTCAGCCTTTCTTACCTTGGCCATGTCTCTGAGTATTGCACACCTTGTGCTTTTGGGCACTCCAGTGATGTTGCAGCTCTGAAATATGGCCAAACTGGTGGCAAGTGGCATCTTGGCAGCTGCACGCTTGACTTTTCTCAGTTCATGGGCAGTTATTTTGCGCCTTGGTTTTTCCACACGCTTCTTGCGACCCTGTTGACTATTTTGAATGAAACGCTTGATTGTTCGATGATCACGCTTCAGAAGCTTTGCAATTTTGAGACTGCTGCATCCCTCTGCAAGATATCTCACTGTTTTTGACTTTTCTGAGCCTGTCAAGTCCTTCTTTTGACCTATTTTGCCAAAGGAAAGGACGTTGCCTAATAATTATGCACACCTGATATAGGGTGTTGATGTCATTAGACCACACCCCTTCTCATTACAGAGATGCACATCACCTAATATGCTTAATTGGTAGTAGGCTTTCGAGCCTATACAGCTTGGAGTAAGACAACATGCATGAAGAGGATGATGTGGACAAAATACTCATTTGCCTAATAATTCTGCACTCCCTGTATTCTTGGGCAAGATACTAACCTTAAATTGCTCTCCGATGCATCCATCGGAGTATGAATGTGGGTGCGAATGTTAGTTAGAAAGCACTAACAAAATGTGCTTGCGTGAATGCGTGTGAATGCACAAGTTGTGTAAAGCGCTTTGAGTGCGCAGAAGAGTAGAAAAGCACTATAAAAGAACCAGTCCATTTACCATCTTTCTAATTTGTGGCTTTTTCAGTCTGTTATTTCTGATATGTTCATCTTTAATTTCCCTCTCTTTTCCCTCTCTTTTCACCGACTACACTAACTTTGTGGCTCCCCTACAGTCACAAGCGATTCTCATTGCTGGTCCCAAGACACCAGATCACTGCTTGCTTACATTCAGTGAGCATCCCATATCAAACTTCCCTTCAACACCCCTTCAACAGCTGGAATAAAAACC